GAAGTCAACATTAAACATGATACACAGTATTTTACATGTGTCAGGTCTGCACTTAATAAATAATGACCTGTTACAAGCCTGTATAGCAATAAGGAAAATCTGTAATGCGACAGCTCGTTTGCGGGCGGTTGTGCATTTTTGGGTTTTCCAGAGTGAAATTTCTTGCTGATGTTTCCTTGTAGCTAACGAACTCTGGATATGACAGCAGGACATACGTCTACGCTACTATTACAGCATGATGCAATATTACAACACTATTAAGGGATGATGCAACGTTGTAACAACAAGATGCGACATTACAACACTACGACAGCAGAATGTGACCATTATGACAGAATGACTGAATAATGCGTCATTATTAGTTCTCAGGTTCAGGAACATATCTGTGAAATTATACAATATGAATTGACGGCTTCGCTGACAGTGACTATGAGACAGTGAGAAAGCCCGACTATTTTGAAAGAGACATTTGATAAAATCACATTTTCAGTCGAAATATCTGGGATATGTATAAGATATCCTTTGGCTAAAATTCTATTCAAAGAGTTCTGTCCTCAGCCCAACTCTGTGTGTATGTTACATAAGCCCTACTGGCTCCTCCTGTTATCGTAATCCTGCAGGATTCGAATTCTTTGCCACACTAAATAATCAGCTCTCAGACAGACAGTATTGTAAACATATATGGCGACTTTAATTCAAGAGTTGGCGATAGCACAGACTACATTGAAGGTGTTGAAAATATTCCGAACACAAATGTATTGGACTTTTTATAAAAATTCGCATCGGAATCATTTGCTACACTTTATGACTGACAGCAATATGTGTATGGTAAATGGTAGGAAAGGAAGAAGCAATTTTACTTTTGTGACTCCACAATCAAAATCAGTGATTTATTATATAATTGTGGCACATGAACAGTTACCACTCATTTTAGACTTTACAGTTGAAACTTTACAGTTACTGTGCCCCAGTCAATTCCAGTACATTCTGTTATCATAGCATCACTCTCATTATCAGTTTTATGGACATTACACCAACAGACAATCAATCTTATGTGTAGAATGACAGTAAGAATCTATGTAAACCCTGCAGGTTTCAAGTTTGAGAAAATCCCCTGTCGCTGCCAGCAGTGAAGCAGCCTTAAAAGCAATTATTGCGTAGATCGAAAATGAGCTGTCTGTTGCAAAAGATACTGATTCAGGATTTATCATTTAATATGCCCAGAATTAGAAAATAGTTCCACGAAAATCGGTACAAACATAACGATGTAAAAGGCAAATGCCATACCAAACCCTACTGGAATGAACAACTTCAAAAAGAATAGAATACAGAATAGAATAGAATAGAATATGTTGAAAAGAGATGGCTGAAATGTGAAGGCTCTAATCCAATGAAGAAAACATGTATTTCAATCTGTGCGAAATACTTCAATAAACTACACAAAACATATAAACGCCAATATCAATTGGTCAAACAGGAATCACTCTCTTCATTCTGCATGAATGAACAGTGTGTGCAAACTACTAGCAGCATGACTGTTTCACAACTTTAGGTAGTGAGTTCTCAAACGTGTTGATCTCCCCTCGTGTAATGCTTAGCTAACATATGTTTTTGATGAGTAACACCTGAAGAAAATAAAGTCTACAATGGCCCAACTTGAAGCAACTGGTAACAATAATGATACTCCTTTAGATGATCCAATCACCTTGTGTGATGTGAGAGCAGCAGTGGCAAGAGCTCAGAAACACAAGGTAACCGGTGTAGATGAAATACCAGCAGAAACTTTAAAAAATGACAATAGTATACTCCTATTACATAGGATATTCAACTACTTCTTTCAGCATGGATGAATGAAACCTGGAAGTACTGACCTACATGTGCCATCAACCTTGCGATGAATTACACTCCTTTCAGTCCCTTACAAAATATTCTGTGATATATTAAACCAGAGACCCTTTAAATGTATAGAAGAAAATAACATTCCAGTTAATGAACAGTGATTTTAGATAAAACTGCAGTTGTCTTGATAACTGTGTTTATATGTTACAGGGAATGTGTGAAACCAGGGATTTCACGTAATCCCTAAAGGAGTCAGCGATTTCGTGAAATCACTGTGGCCCCCAGGGATTTCATGTATCCCAAAACATTTTAAGGGATCACTGTCACCCACTGTGACTATTGACTTGAGGAAAGCGTTTGACAATATCAATCGTGAATGTTTATGGTATAAACTTAACAATGATAGAGTAACAGGAAGGATGGATGTATACTATGATTAAGGCTCTGTATGAAGATGGTCTGCAGGGTTCTATTCTGCGCCCTATTCTATTACCCTGTATACGTGTGAGCTAGGCCAACTGATAGCTGTCAGTGAGGTAGGTCATCACTTGTCTGCAAATGACACGCAACTGATGAAGATGCTACGTGTCCTATACTCCCAGTCGAATCTTCTAAACATGGAGATCTGCATTCTACATAAAGCGATGGATGAATTCAAATATGCTCAAGCTGAATGGCAGCAAGACAGAAGCTTTGTAAATGGGCACTCGTACCAATCGTGCCAAAGTGAAGGGGATGCGTGTGGGGAAGTCTGACATTCAGTTTTCAGACAAATTCAAGAATCGAGGTGTCCTATTTGACCATGAACTCTCCTGTCTATCAGACACCTTCTTCCTACAAATGCGGCCCATGCTCCTGTGCGCTCTTTGGTGTTATCACGACTTATCACAACAGTCTCTTGGCCAACATATCAAACGAGCAACATAGGTTGCAACGTGTTGAAAACAGCAGCCAGGAGTGTGATGAGGTGTCTCCTCTGTGTTGCAAAGCCAAAGCTTAGATGGTTTAGGAAAAGATCATTTCCAGTGCAGCAACACTGTGGAATGAACTGCCTTGTGACTTGAAAAAAAAAAATCTCTGCACTTTCAAAACAGCTTTTCAAAAGACCTACCGGTTTAATCAGTTTTACAACACAGCCTAATCTTGCTCCAAATTAGAAACTTTGTAAATACCAGAGGACTTTTGTTAGCACTGTGAGCATTTACCTAGTGAATGGAGTCGAGGGCATTATAAATGCACTTATTATTATTATGTTCTAAAGATTAAAGATGAAAACGCAGCAGAGAGGGTTCGGCTGATTCTGGCACAGTCAGGCTGGTAAGGCTCATCATCAGCTCAGGGCCCTCGCCCCCTCTACACGCAGCCCAGACAGCGAATGAGACTTCTCCCAGGAAACACTGCCTAGTCGAACCCACCAAGAACTTTCCGGAGAATATGAAGTCTCCCCAACACTGCAGCCTTCTGCAATACCCAGAGTGTTAGAAGGGCTGTGCTCCCGGTGGAGAACCAGGTCACTCTCCTGATCTGCGCCAAGAGATCAGGAGGTACCAAACCATCCTGATTCTTGCCAATCACATTGCTGTCAAACGGGACAGAAAATTCAATGATATGAATAAATTCATTGGCTTTGTGAAAAAAGGACAAGATCAGGTTTGTTGGCAGGAATTCTTCTGAGGCTGTATATGGGCCTATTCCACAAAAGTTTGAAAGCATCATTTTCCATGACGCCCTGGCCATGTTCAGGGTCGTACCATGGATGGTCATCGGAGTCAAAGCCACAGGCAGGGCAGAGACAGTAGTTAAAGCAACGAGCCATGCCATCATGGCTCTTAAGATATGCTGTTTGTGCCAAGGAAGGGCATCCACTGACAAGGTGTTGGACAGTCTCTGTAAATTCAATACACAGTCGGCATTTCATGTTATTATTATCATGATTATATGACTCTATCACCCAAGATAAAGAATTGTGTACTTTTATGGTTTGACGGAAGATATGAACGCTTCGCGGTTGACATTGTATTACTTGCTTGAACCAGATACTGGATACAATACATGAATAGTGGCAAAAACAACTACAGTTGAGTGCATATAGGGAGTTAGGGTAGGGGTAATTGGGGATGAATGTACCTGATCTTGCATTGGAGACTCGGGTATGGGGATAGAATGGTTGAAGTGTGTGTGTGTGCGTGCGTGCGTGCGTGTGTGTGTGCTGTGAAGGGGGAGGGGGCTAGGTGGTACATATTGGTTGTTAGGAGTGTGAATTGCCCTGTATGTGAGATGAATGTAATGTCTGTTTTGGCATTGTCTGTTATAAGCATATTTTATGCACAATGTGCCTAAACCATGTGGGTGGCCGATACAATAAAAAAAGCAAATAATTTTATGTACCTTAACTTGTATCAGGTGAAACTTGCATAAATACAATACGAGAGGGCGTTGAATATGGACCCTATTTCAACTCAATACTAGTAAACGTTTCGATTTATTCACGCAGACGATGCCGGATGTAAACACAACGAAAGGAAGACAGCTCTGTCACGACTATTATATAGATGACAACAAACAATAGAAAATATTCAATTAAAAGAACAACTCTACTAATCCCAAGGACAGCGAAATTGACTTTTAATTATGCACAAACCTAAAGATTTGTTTGGTTGACATTTTTTAACACAGAATGCTTGAATGAAGTTACAATGTTAGTTCAAAAGATCTCGGTGGCATCAGAATGTTCGGCATTATGACGTCACTTTTGGTGAATAATCTAGTTTGGTTACACAACACTCGGTGGATACTTTTCAACTAGTTCCCTAACCAAAATTACCTCATAAATATATTCAGAACACGTTTGTGATAAATAATATATTTGAAGGTTCCAATTTCTCTCCAAGAAAAGTTATATAGATTAATCTGAGTCAAATACGATGACGACAAGGAGCTGTGCCATTCTGGAACGTACTTTTATCCTTTCATTTATTCATCGGCATTTAGAAATGTATCTTCCGTTTCAGACAGAAAGGATAAGATAAAGCAAAATTAATGCCTCATTTAACGTAACAGTGTCAAAATGGGCAGCGCGTCATGGCAACATTTTGCCCCTGCTGACATAGATGATGACATCATCAACGTTGTTTTCCTTTTCTCTTTGGCGTTTCAGAAAAAAAATAATTGGAGACTATACGGAGAGTTCACCAGCTGTATATTTGAAGAGAAACATCGACACTAGAAGAAAACAAACACAGCCAGAAGGGAAGTGACCCGAATTCAAGGAATAGTGAAGTCGGGCAGATGTCTGGATTCAATGATCGAAGGGGAACTAACCCCAATTTTGGTTTCTCGACAATGTCGGAAGAATACCGGCTGGACAAAGAAGAATTAACTGCCCGTTACCGAGATATACTTAACTCGACCCAGGGCGTTGGTAAGTGTAGTGTAACACAATATTAATGTTGAGTCTTGTGTTTGCTTGCATTTTGGCTGTTTAAGGATGCATGTGCTCACCAATATTCCAGGTATATGACAGCGGCCTGTACATTTTCATGGCTTTCTTAGAAGTCCAGTGACTGAAATACGGTCCACAGTAGCTCAGGCCTGACTGCACGCGATTCAAACAGTGTGTCAAAACATACAGTGTCAAAACATCAACGGATCCTGGACTTCATAATATTAGTTATTTTACAGTTTTGCCTTGGTAATATTTTGAGGATTTTGGAAAAGTTGTTGGTGAGAGCAACACTTATTCCGTGTCCAGTTGTTAGGTGATGTAACGTGAATATAACTGACTCTTCAACAGGCCAGTAATGTTACTCCTAAATTAACGGACCCTAAAAGAACGGATAAATCCTGGACAGTGGTTTATATCTTGGCTTTGTTGCACTTTTCACGCCCTACTTTCACCATTATTGCCAAGGATTTAAGTTCCAACTGGTCATATTGTTAATTTGTCACACGACTCATACGAGACTCCTGCAAAATCATGCATTTCACAATCCTTTCGCATAAGTCGTTCGACACACTTGCTCGTGTAATGATCTCTATGTAGAGACTCACCAATCTCACTTTTGTATTGATACCATGCATATTTGCTTGAAGATTTGACACACCAACATGTTGAATGTCTTTATTTTATCATCCTTTCTGACATTTTGTTTCTGACATTATATGACATTAAGCATATCTCCCATCATCCCGTTTGTTGTAGGTGACGTGTTCATTGTTGTCGTTATCGTTAGAATCCTCTGGACCACAGAATCTGAAACTTTACAATCTTCTTATAAACAATTGACACCCGAAATTATTGAAGATGTCCGAATCATGTATAACCGTCACATCAAAGATTTTGATACATCTAGTCACAACCTGCATGTTTCGTCCAATTTGTAACACTATAGTTTTACTGACATAGCTGAACTTTGATCCGAGCATGTATTAGTTCTCATTGTGACCTGAATTCAGGGGAGCGTGAAGTCAAGCAGTTGCCTGGTGTCGATGCTCTAATGGGAAGTGACCCGAGTTCAGGGAAGCGTGAACTCGATCAGTTGTCTGGAGTCGTTGCTCCAAAGGGAGGTGACTCGAATTCAGGGGACAGTGAAGGTGAGCAGTTGTCTGGAGTCGATGCTTCAAAGGGAAGTGACCCGAGTTTAGGGAAGAGTGAAGTCGAGCAGTTGTCTGGAGTCGATGCACTAAAGGGAAGTGACCCGAATTCAGGGGACAGTGAAGGTGAGCAGTTGTCTGGAGTCGATGCTTCAAAGGGAGGTGACCCGAGTTCAGGTAAGCGTGAAGTCGAGCAGTTGTCTGGAGTCGATGCTCCAAAGGGAAGTGACCCGAATTCAGGGGACAGTGAAGGTGAGCAGTTGTCAGGAGTCGATGCTTCAAAGGGAAGTGACCCGAGCTCAGGGAAGAGTGAAGTCGAGCAGTTGTCTGGGGTCGATGCTTCAAAGGGAAGTGGCCCGAATTCAGGGAACAATGAAGTCGGGCAGTTGTCAGGAGTCGATGCTCCAAAGGGAAGTGACCCGAGTTCAGGGAAGAGTGAAGTCGGGCAGTTGTCTGGAGTCGATGCTCCAAAGGGAAGTGATCCAAATTCAGGGAAGTGTGAAGTCGGGCAGCTGTCGGGAGTCGATGCTCAAAAGAGAAGTGACCCGAATTCAGGGAAGAGTGAAGTCGCGCAGTTGTCTGGAGTCGATGCTCCAAAGGGAAGTGACCCAAACTCGGCTCAGGGCGTTGGTAAGTGAAGTGTAACACCATGTATGTATGCATGTATGTATGTGTGTGTGTGTGTGTGTGTGTGTGTGTGTGTGTGTGTGAGAGAGAGAGTGAGTTAAAATTTACAGACACATAGGCAATATGTCAGCCATATCGTGACTAAAACAAGTTGTATATTCACCATAAATACATGTAAATTATAAAACCTGTCAAGCCTTTATCTCTCTAAAATTGGATTTCACATAGGACTCACAACCATTTCAAATGTTATTGACAGGACACAACTATCATAGAGAAATCGCAACGATTTGAACCCCAAAAGGCATTACAGACTGATTTGTTAAATTAGCAACCTATCAACGTTGAAAGATGCCATAAACGGGATCCGGAATCTTTCAGAAAAAAGTACAGAGCAGTATAATGGACGCCCTGCTCCAGTGGGAAGTGACCCGATTTACCCTTTCCCGACGCAGTCACCATCAGTTGATATTAGCTTCGCTGACTCTCAAGGTACGCACGCATGCGCTCGCACGCACTCACACGTGTTGTTCTCTTCCAATACAGAGTACTCAACACTTGTGGTAGCGGAGCATGTATATATGTATGATTAATACACTGGATTTTTTCATGTTTGTAACTCCTAGTTTCATGCACACACAACCACAAGCGTTATGTAAAGGTAGTACAAAAACACAGGATAACACATTAGATCACTGATCCACGTTTTGCAGTTGTTTTACTGTACTGCCTTTGTATAATTTAGGTAACGGGGACTTATCTGAGGACGATGGTGCAAATGGATGTGACCCGTTTTTCAAAGATGCTTTTGGAATAGTTGTTGGTGAGAGTCACATTCATTCCGTGTCCAGTTGTGAGGTGATGTTAAAAAACTGACTCTTCATCAGACCAGTAATGTTACTCCTAAATTAGCGGTTAATTTATAATTCCTGGACATTGGTTTATATCTTGGTTTTGTTGCCGTTTTCACGTCCAACTTTCACCGTTATTGCCAAGGATTTTAATTCCAACTGAAATTAGCAACCTATCACTGTCGAAAGATGCCAAAAACGGGATCCGGTATCTTTCAGAAAAAAGTACAGAGCAGTATTTTGGACCCCCTGCTCCAGTGGGAAGTGACCCGATTTACCCTTTCCCGACGCAGTCGCCATCAGTTGATATTAGCGTCGGCAGCTTTCAAGGTACGCACGCATGCGCACGTACGCACACACACACGTGTTGTTCTCTTCCAATACAGAGTGCTCAACACTTGAGGTAGCGGAGCATGTATATATGTATGATTAATACACTGGAATATTTCATGTTTGTAACTCGGAGTTTCATGCACACACAACCACAAGCGTTATGTAAAGGTAGTACAAAAACACAGGATAACACATTAGATCACTGATCCCCCTTTTGAAGTTGTTCTACTGTATTGCCTTTGTATTATTTAGGTAACGGGGGCTTGTCTGAGGACCATGGTGCAAATGGATGTGACCCGTTTTTCAAAGATGCTTTTGGAATAGTTGTTGGTGAGAGTCACATTCATTCCGTGTCCAGTTGTGAGGTGATGTAACGTGAATATAACTGACTCTTCAACAGACCAGTAATGTTACTCCTAAATTAGCGGTTAATTTATAATTCCTGGACAAGGGTTTATATCTTGGTTTTGTTGCCGTTTTCACGTCCAACTTTCACCGTTATTGCCAAGGATTTTAATTCCAACTTAAATTAGCAACCTATCACTGTCGAAAGATGCCCAAAGCGGGATCCGGTATCTTTCAGAAAAAAGTACAGAGCAGTATTTTGGACGCCCTGCTCCAGTGGGAAGTGACCCGATTTACCCTTTCCCGACGCAGTCGCCATCAATTGATATTAGCTTCGGCGGCTTTCAAGGTAAAAATCACGGTCCACAGTAATTGACAGTCCAAGCTATCCCTGACTGTAATTTTTAACATTTTTTTAAATAGGGCGCGCGCGCACGCACGCACGCATGCACACACACACAAAAATGTGTATATATATATCACCCGAAATTGTTTAAGATGTTCGAATGATGTATGACCGTCACATCGACGATTTTGACACATCTAATCACAACCTGCATGTTTCGTCCAAATTGTGACACAATAGTTTTACGTTTGCTTAGTTGGTTGTTGAATTCAGGAAATATGTTTACATAATGACCTTCATTTGAGCATGATCCTAAATGTTGTAACAAAAGACATTGACAGATGCGGCCGCGTAAACTTCTCTCTTGAAAATGTTCGACTGAGACAGCTGAACTTTGATCTGAGCATGTATTTGTTATCATTCTGATCTGAATTCAGGGAACAGTGAAGTCGAGCAGTTGTCTGGAGTCGTTGCTCTAAAGGGAAGTGACCTGGTTTGTGAAGTCGGGCAGTTGTCTGGAGTCGATGCATCAAAGGGAAGTGACCTGAATTCAGGGAAGAGTGAAGTCGAGCGGTTGTCTGGAGTCGATGCTTCAAAGGGAAGTGACCTGAATTCAGGGAAGAGAGAAATCGAGCAGTTGTCTGGAGTCGATGCATCAAAGGGAATTGACCTAAATTCAGGGAAGCGTGAAGTCGAGCGGTTGTCTGGAGTCGATGCTTCAAAGGGAAGTGACCTGAATTCAGGGAAGAGAGAAATCGAGCAGTTGTCTGGTGTCGATGCATCAAAGGGAATTGACCTAAATTCAGGGAAGGGTGAAGTCGAGCGGTTGTCTGGAGTCGATGCTTCAAAGGGAAGTGACCTGAATTCAGGGAAGAGAGAAATCGAGCAGTTGTCTGATGTCCATGCATCAAAGGGAAGTGACCTGAATTCAGGGAAGAGTGAAGTCGGGCAGTTGTCTGGAGTCGATGCTCCAAAGGGACACTCGGCTCAGGGCGTTGGTAAGTGTAGCGCAACACAATATTAATGCAAAGTCTTGTCTGTGTGTGCATTTTGGTTGTTTAAAGATGTACTCACCAATATTCGAGGTATATGACAGTGGCCTGTAAATAGTCACGGCTGTCTTTGACAGTCCAGTGACTGAAATCATGAGAGTCAATTAATGTTTTTGTCGGGTATTCAAGGTAACAATGACGGTGCACAGTAGCATATGCATGACATGCGATTCGTACAACGCTTACGATTTTAGGTGCAGTTCATGATGAGCTTGTGAATATAGCTTAGCTTAGCCGACTTTCAAGGTAAAAATTACGCCTCACAGTTTCAGAGAGCCCAAGCTAGCCCTGATCTTCAGCAAAGTTTTGTGCTTATATATACATATATACATATATATATATATATATATATAAATGCTATATAACATCATCGTGTTAGTTGTAGATGCCATGTCTATTGTATTTTTGTTTGTGTTCATATTTCCCTTTTTTGGTACAAAGTCAATGTGCCAAGAAAAATGTCTATTGTTGTCGTTATCCTTAGAATCCTTTAGACCATTGGGTCTGAACATTTACTAGCGTCTTACAAACAATTGCCCACCGAAATTGTTTAAGATGTTTGAATCATGTATGACCGTCACTTCAACGATTTTGATACATCTATCCACAAGCTGCATGTTTCATCCAAATTGTGACACAATAGTTTTACATTTGTTTAGTTGGTTGGTTGGAAGACATTGAGATATGCGGCCGTGTAAACGTCTCCCCTGATAGGGACATTGTATCACACACTCTTTTAAAAGGTTTTATAACTCATTGTACCCTGGACCGCCTCCGTGGTGTAGTGGTTAGAGCGTCCGCCCGGAGAGCGGAAAGTCGTGGGTTCGATCCCCGACCACGTCATACCAAACGACGTTAAAATATGGTACTTGTTGGTCCATGCCTGGCGTTCGGCATTAATGGGTACAACAAGGACTGGTCGGCTCGGAGTCAGTATGATGTGTCTGAGTGGGGTATTCATGCTTCACTGCGGCATGGTATCTCAGTGGGCTAGCACTATAAAACCATCTTAAGTCTATGCTAGTACAAGCAGCCGCACATACATATACACACGCATGCACGTCGTCATATGAGCGAAATATTCTCAAGCACGACGTTAAACCCAATTTCACCTCATTGTAACCTTGGCCATATGATATATTGTACTCAAGGCCCAGTGTCTGCAAAGTGAAACTTGCCTGAAAACTAATCATTTCAGTTTTAACCGTGTATGTATTTTTTTCTTTCAATAAGTTTGCATACTTTGTATTCATCCCCGTTCAAGAATGTACTCGATTCGACCCATCGTAGGATTAAACGAAGTCATGCACATCAAAATCAATGACTCGATCAGTGTTTAGACTGTGGACAGACAACAGCAATCTATATTTTCGACACATCTTTATAATCATCTTTCGATGATCGCCAATTGGTCTTTAATTAGTCAGACACGTACAAACGTTTGAACTGTCAACTGACACGCTGGTGATATCCGTCATTTGGAAGCCTTGCCTGTACATGTGACTGTATCAAGCCACATTGACATATTGTCATAAACTGAGGTATAGTGACTTAACAAAAGTATTGCAACAAACTTGTTTGCTCTATATCTCCCGGGGGCGTTTACTGTAAACAAAAGTCTCTCTTGCGAAAACCGCCCAACATTAGGTAGTGAAATGTGGCATGATCATATTCCGCAGTGCGAAGGAACTGACAGAAGAGCAAAAGGAATTACTAGTAATTATTGAATTGCATGAAAAAGGCTTGAAAAATAATAAGACTGCTGAATTGATAGCAGTTCACAAATCTACTGTAGGGCGAATTTTGAAGAAGTTTGGTGACGGTCAAAGCACAGAAAACAGACATAGAAGTGGTTGCCTTCGTGTGATTGGTTTGAGGGTGGATAGGCGTTCGCCAAAACAGCGACGTTCCCTTACTAACATGACTAACAATTTTGATTCTCAACATCACGTTCGAGTTTGTAGCACGACAATCCCAGCGACATTTACATCGGGCTGGCATAAAAAACGGACGATAAGAAATGGTATCACCATTTCACAAGTTAACCATCAGAATCATGTAAGGTGGTGTAGGGGGATAATGTCATGAGGACGTCATAGGTGGAAGAAAGGGTTGTTTACTGATGAAACTCGGGTTGTGTTAGGAGAAAATAAAAACATTTCTGTTTGGCTGAAGAAAGGTGGAGTCCGGAATGTTTGAACGTACTGAAATATCCTGTCGCGGCAAGTGTACTGTTTTGAGGATGAGTTAGCTGCAATGGTATAGGTGTACTGGTTTCAGCTGAAGGACATATTAACTCAGTAAAATACATAGATGTGCTTGATACCAATTTGTGGCCTGTTGTAGCGAAGGCATATGGAAAAACGCCTGAACTTTTCAAGATGGCAATGCGCCAGTACACGGGGTCTCGGGAGACCACTTCCTGGAAAACTAATAATGATAAAAATGTCCTAGGAATGGACTGGCCTGCTCAATTCACAGACATTAACGTCATAAAAAAGTGTGGAGATGTGTTCAATCTCAAAAAGTCTATGAAGTCTGTGAATCTGAGCCACTCTCCAACAAGTCTATATTCGAAGTTTATACCAATCAATCCCTAAAGAATCCGAAGTGTCATAATCCAGAAGGGTTATATTACCAAATACATTCATTCTTCTTGAAGAGTGAGTGAGTGAGTTTATTTTTACGCCACACTCAGCAAAATTCCAGCTATATGGCGGCGGTCTGTAAATAATCAAGTCTGGACCAGACAATCCAGTGATCAACAGCATAAGCATCAATCTACGCAATTGGGATACAATGACATGTGTCAACCAAGTCAGCAAGCCTGACCACCCAAACCTGTTAGTTGCCTCTTACGACAAGCATAGTCGCCTTTTGTGGCAAGCATGGCTTGCTGAAGACCTGTTCTACACCGGATCTCTTCTTGAAGAATGGGCAGAGGATCTATTCCGCAAGGCATACTATGTCAGAGTGTATATCTGTGAACAGTGGTAAGGACTTGTCATTCAAAGTGATCTGACCTCAACAAGTATAACTGACTGACTGAGTTTAGTTTTACGCCGCTTTTAGCAATATTCCAGCAATATCACGGCGGGGGAAACCAGAAACGGCTTCACACATTGTGCCCATGTGGGGAATCGAACCCGGGTCTTCGGCGCTTTAACCACTAGGCTACCCCGCCGCCCCTCGACAAGTATAAGCGTCTGTAGTGTCTTAAGAGTGTTTCACATTCATGTTTGCTTTTACGTGTATATGTTTTCAAAAACATGTAGGTATGTAAATATATATGTTTATTTATTGATTGTATGTACCATATAAACACATAATATATTATGTCTCTCTCCTTGTTTATGTTTCTATTAATTTGTACGTAAGACTTTCGCACGTATCCCCCTAAACTTTAACGACAGGGAAAAATATGTCTTTCAGTATGTCCAGATATAATTAAAGAAACATGTTAAAACTGATCCTTATCAGATGAGGAATATATATTCAGGTGATATGATTTTACTAGAATGTAATTTAAGGGGGAATACGGCGGAAATCTTTCCCAAGACTGAATCACTGTCTATATTCATTTTTTCTTCCTCTTTAGAACAATTGAGAGATCCTGCATTAACAACCCATTATGTACTATCAAATTCACTGTCATGCTTGCAGATAACCCGAACTAGCTTCCGCACGTATATCCTATACCAACATATTTTCATCTGACTATGATGTTGTTTGTTTCACGGAGACTCACGTATAGATACTGAAACATTGGCCTGGGAAAACATTCATGACCCGATACGTAGAGATAGAAGAGCTTTTTGGGGGTGGGGTGGGAGGGTGGGGGTGGGGGTGTTATGATGTATATATCTCGACATTTAACTTTGACAGACTTCCAAATCTTGAACATGTATATGATGAATCTGTATGTGTTAAAATATTTCTTCCACAAAACCATTAATCATATGCACTGGTTTCCAGGCCTGAAAGTAATACTGCCAACTTGTAGAGTATATTTGACAATAGCATTGAAGGTGCTTTAGATATTTCAAGTAAAGTTACTTTTGTCGGAGACTTGAATGGAAATTTACTTTCCAAAGCCAATCTAAATCAACAGACATCTTACTTAGAAAACACTTACATAATGTTACAACGGAACCCACAAGGGTGACCAAGACAACCAGCACTCTTCTTTATCCAATAGTTGTTAATGATGAAGTTTTTTGGGTTTTTATTGTTTATTTTTATATTGGTTCCCAGGATTACAATGTCATATGTAGAAAAGTGATGTATAGACAGATGGATGATGTACAGGTACGATGTACTCTTCTAGATCCAATAGTTGTTAATGATGAAGTTGACGTTGTTGAAAGTGGCGTTGTTGATTTCGATAGAAGTATAAGTGATCACAAAGGCACATTTGTCAACGTTGATGTGCATGTATGTATCAGCTAAAGTTGCATATCATAGACAAGTTTGTTGTTACAACAATGGTGATTATGAAAAAATGAATGTACTTGTTAGCAGTACGGAGTGGTTGTCACTGTTTACTGACTGTTCAAATGTTGAAGATGCTTGCTGTGTATTTTATGAACGTTTTAATGATTTAAGATCTAATGACAAACCATGGTATGACTCAAATATTCGACGTGAAAGTAGGAAGTGAATCAACTGAGGAAAAAAGCGAAGACAACACAGAATATAACTGATGTTATGAAATAAAAAACAACAACAACAAAAACAAAACAACAACAACCCAACAACAACCAAAAAATAACAACTACAACAGCGTAATAAAGTTAATAAGATGAAATTATATGCAAAAGAACATTGTTTTTCAAATCTTGACGTATTTTAATCGAACTGGTGAAAATAAATCATCATATTGTTACGCAGTTTGATCAAGACGTCAGGTACTGCTTCCTTCATTCCCGCTTTGAAAATACATGCAG